TTTCCTAGCCACAATCCCTTTCTGCTTTTCCCACGGATCCCCTACAAACTCAGCAATATTTTCAGAAGAGAAAGACCAACATTCTAAGGACATTCTGATTTCTTCACAGCTCAGCTCATCAGAGCAGTTCTGGCTGCCTGTGCTGCCAAAGTAGAAACCTGCCGCCAGGTCTATTCCAACAGGGCAGGGCTCAGAAACAGTAAAGGAAGCACCTTGGCAGAAGAGGAGGCATTGTAGAGACTACAACAGTTAAACAGCTTTACTTATACTTGATCATATAGACATGTAAGACAGTGGTACCAAAGAATGGGAATAATTCAATTTATTTATATCGGTACTACTTTTACCTTTCAGAGTGTGACAATTTTATTTATTCATTTATATCTTGCCTCAGCTGTTAAAGAATATGAGGCAGTTTAGCACTCACTACAATAAAACAATTCCATCTAGTTTCTGAGGTAACTGTATAATAAAAGGTCTTTAAAAATCAAAGAACATGAATCTTTTTCACATAAAATCCCAAGAGCAACTTCCTTCTTTTAAAATAAATTCAAAATTAGAGCAAGAGAAACAGATTACAGTGAATGTGGGAGAAAATGAGCATGTTTTCATTGGTATTATTTTGGGTTTCCTTTTGGGAGAGCAGTGAGATAGATGATAGATATTTTAATAAAGGATTATACACGTGATTTAGTTAAATGCTTCAGTGAACCAAAATAGGGGTTTTTGTTTCTCTTATGCCTACTACCTAACCTTGAGTGAGACCACCAAAAAATAAAAATAAAGCAGCAGGTTTAAAATTAAAATAGGCCACTTTTAAGCTAATTTTAATTGAGAAATGAATGAATGCCTTAAAGATAAGGAAAACATTTTAGAATTTTAAAATTCTAAATTTTAAAATATTTTGTTTTAAAAAATATTTACATAAGCCTACAATCAAAAAGGTCACTTAAAATGGAAGATATGAGTATAAACACTAGATATTTTAAACTGATCTAGAAAATAAAAATTATTTCCATAAAGGAACAAAGTCCCAAGCTCTTCTCTAATTACTGTACCAATAAAATTTTATAAATATATAAATATATA